GCGTTAAGCCAATCCCTCGACTAAACATGAAATTCCTTCGACCGATCTTAAGAGACTGACCATAATACCTTATTTAAAAGTTGTTGGAACATGAATCACTCGGCCAACCATAATCATACTAAAAGATAACATAATACGGCATGTAACGGCCCGTGGGAGTGCGCTACGTGCGCAACCATGTCCTCTGGCCAACTAATCGACCAATCATGAAAATCTCCCAACAAACTTAACTTAACTGAACATAATATACTATATATTGACTGAATACATGAAAGTTGTTTGGGAGTTTCGGATTAAACATGAACTTTGCTCGACATGATTGACATGATGCAGCCGAGAGTAACTTAAGGCTACAATATGAACTCGATTATCATGACAATGATAATAACTACAGAAAAGAGGTCCCAAGCAATTACCTTGCCAATAGTTCGCCTGATCTTGCTAAACGCTCGGAACAACTTGGAGCTCGACGCTTCCGTGCGTACGGCCGAAGCTTGCGTGCGCAACCCTTATAAAAGGAAGCTCTCTACTTCTCTCTATACTTAACTCTTACAATATACTTAGGAAAATAGGCTGAAATTTTCCCAAGTCTATTACTTATATATGAAGGTTTAAGAGGTGGGGAGAAATAAAATTAAGAGGTGGCTAATCATTTACCTCCATTTGTCAACATTAGAGACTTAAGGATGCTTAATCACCCACCAAATAGCTTAGTCATCTAATAAGGAACTTAATCATCACTTAGTACCTTAAAATGATGACACCTAAAGCTTAAAATGGAGACAAAATCTCCCTTGAATATGGATAAAATGCCCACGGCATTTTAGTGAAAAAAATGACAACATTACTATAAAATGCCTATGGCATTCAGCTTATATAAGCATAATTAACCTTAATTAAGCACAATTAATATGCTTAATTATTTAACTAAGAATGGTACTTAATTACCAAAATTATTCCAAACATAAACGTGACTTCGAAAATAATTTTGGATAATCTCGACTGAAATAATTAATTCCGAAAAATAATAATCGACAACATTATTATATCGGAATTAAACACATGATTAATATTAATAACATGACGGGATATTACATATATGAATATATATCAGAATATATATTATATATATAATATATATATTTATATAAATATATATTTATTTATATATATTTATATATATATATAGGATTGTGTTCACATGAGAATGATGCTTAGTGAAAGAAATGAGAATAAATCAGAGTCATTAGAACGGATGATCTAATGACTACAAAAAAGTCAAAATTATATCTTCATTAAGGGTATTATGGTATCTTTTCCATATCACATTCAAATAAGTGGGTCCCAATCAACATTAATTCACCAACACCTACCTCCCAACTACCCGACCCACGCCCACCTGCCAACACCCTCCCCCATGCTCACTCACTCTCACACAATTACACCTCCCATTTTCTCTCTCTCTCTCTCTCTCTCTCACACACACACACAACTAACACACACACACATGTGTATATACACAGATACACACACAAACACACACATACACAGGCAGGTTCACCGATTGTCATCCTCACGCCGCCGCCGTCCGCCACACCATATGTCGTCGTGATCCTCACGCCGCCGCCGTCCTCCATAGTACATATACCGCCATCCGCTGCCATCTAACTCCCAGGCACACGGCAGCCCGACTCCAACCAACAACCGAGCTTGATCGACTGCTTAGTCGCAGCCGAAAGACCGCCAGATTTTGTCTCGCTGCCGGAAGAGGTGGAGCTCGATTTTTCCGCCATTAATCTCGCCGTCTCTTGCATCCTCCTCCACCGCGAAGCGCCGTCGCACACCGGCTGCCATCGTCACCGTCGTCCTCACTTTCGCTTGGACAATGAAGGTATAGCAGGAGCTTGGAAGCCATTAATGGTGGGCTTCATTTTGAAAATTGGATGAAACTCAAGGACTTGACCAAAAATTTATTTATTTTGAGAATATCTCAATTGGTCCATTGGGCCAAATCTGCAATTTAAAAAAATATAAGAAAATTATTTTATATATATTTTTTATACACATATATTATGTATTTTATACTCAAAAAAAATAAAATATTAACCCGTAAGATATTAAACAAGCATATATTTGTAGTACTTATTACTTTGATTCCCATGGGTGAGGCTTAGTGAACTGGGCTAATAAACCCGCTGTCTTGGGTAATATTGTTGCATGTATGATGTGCTGTTAGGATATTTACGGTCACCATGTGCGTTAGATTGATGATGTCCCCAGAGTGAGTTCATGAAGGATTATTATGCTAAACCCTGCAGGTGGATTAAATTCTGGCATAGTAATAATGTAATGAACGAGCGCTAGCTTGGGTGAAATAATAATAAATTAATTAATTCTTGATTGTCAGTAATCGAATTAATTAATGGACATTATATCTTAAACATGGGGAGAATAAATCGAGTAATTATTATTGGAGTCTCAATTGTTAATTGGGCTAGGAAAAGGGAGAGCAATAATATTATGTTGGTGGCTCATTTAATATTAGTTAATTAATTAAAATAAGTAACTTGGTCCACAACTATTTAAGGAGCTCTTCTCCTAATCTCCTAAGGGTCCCTACTGTAGCTCTATATACACATCATTAAGCTCATGAGAAAAGAAGAGAATTACACAACTCGTGAAACACGTCCCTCGCCATCTTCTCTCTCTCTCAGTTCCCATTCGAGCTTTATCTTCTTCTTAATGTTTCACCAGTACAAGATTAAGAAGTGTTTGAGACATACAATAGAAGATTTGTAGGTAAACCGAGACGAAATATATATTATCGTACAGAACTAACCGGAGGTCCGATCAAGGCGTGCAGCATACCCAGACGACCTTCTCGATGAGAGCTTTCCAACGCCGTAGAGATCGCCGTTGTACGACACCGCGCACGCCCTCACGCGCTGCCGATGTGTCCCAGGACTGCAAGCTTGTTTTCATCCGTTTTGTACCCATTTGATCCGGTTTTCGATCCGATATTATTCGTGCAACCCTAGGATGCGATTTGCAGTCAACTAGTGTGTTGTGTACGGCTATCCAGAAAATCAGCCAGATCGCCATAAATTTTAAGCCGTAAGTTTTCTACGCAAATCTATAGATCTGCTGCACATTGGTTTACGTTTTTCTATTGAATTCGTGATTTGTGTATAACGAGATCCTCATGGATCCCAATAAGTGGTATCAGAGCCTGGTTTAATTCGTTGTGTAAAAGTTCAATTTTTTACGACTTTATTTGTCAAGATGTGTTCAAACGCAGCCATATATTGGATTATATTCGCATAACTCGGTTTTGCAAGAATTAGTTTAATCCACTATTATAGCCGACTATGTGTTTGATGAATGATGATGAATGTGATGTATGGTTTTAAATTTGTTTTTAAAGCCTCGGACATGTCGAGGAATTTGATGGATGAATGTTTGTAATAATTATTCGCCCAGGGGTTGACCGGATAGATTTAATTATTTGTTTAGAAAAAACATGTACATCCATTCGTTGGATCTAGGATCGGATTATGTAATTTAGTAAATTATATTTTTCGTGTTGAAATCGTGGATTAATTTCCGGGAGTTTGCACGAGATCAACGAGCCTCGAAAAATCATCCGAACTGGAGCCCGGAGACCGCGCGAACTCGCGCAGAAGAAAAAAAATGGCGCTGGCGGTTTTTCACCGGCGATGGCGACAGCTGATCGGCGGAGGCTAGGTAGCGGTGTTTTTACTTGATGGCCAAGCAATATGATATCAACCAGGTTTCTACTGCAGTGGGAGTTCCAGTTGAACAGGGAAAGAATATACAAGATTTCCATGTTTATATGAACTCAATATTTAATGGACATAATAGTGGATTTATTTAATTAAATTCACTATGCCATTAATTATTTATTTATTTATGCATGTTAATTAATTATTGTATTTTCATGGGGTTAATTTAGAATTGCATATTTATTTATGCATGTTAATAAATTATTGCATTTACATAGGACTAATTTATAATTGCATAAATATTTAAATAAGTAAAAATATTCATTTAAATTATACTAAGTCTGAGAAGGGGTTTTAAATTAAAGTTAATTGTAAAATTCTTAAGGCCTCCATTTCTAATTTGTCGGTAAATCAATTAATTGCGGTTATGTGCCCCCCTCAGGTGACATCGCTAAAATTAATTGTAGGTATCTATTACCAGGATGAATTTCTAATTAGACGATTAGAGGGAGTCTTATGAGAGAGTACGATCTTCCCCTCGAATAACGTATAATAGAATTCGTATGAACTCAGGATCGAGGAATGGGATTCACTTAGAATGCGATTTATTTATAACTCCCCTCGGGGTCTCTGAAATTATTGCATGGTCAAATGGAGACCGACTATTAATTTTGTTCGTTATGAATTTGGTTTTGACTTATGGAAATTAATGGGCATTTGAAAGCCTCTCTATTGCGAATGTTGAGTTGTGTGGGGTTGTCGTCGTATCATGCATTAACTCTCGGTGTTTTAAGATGTCGGTGAATTTAAGTTAATGTTGTTTTGAGGATATCAACATTAGCAGTTAAATTCAAATGTGTTTAATCTGTAAAATTATTTTCGTGTTTCTTAGATATTCATCATGTCGTTCAATCCGTTATCTGTCATTCTAAAAGAAAATCATCTTACTGGCCCTAATTATACTGATTGGAAGAGGAACATAGACATTGTGTTGACTGCTGAGAGTTATAAGTTTGTGATCACTGATGCTTGCCCGATAGAGCCCGCGGCTGATGCTCCTGAGCAGGAGAAAGAT